GCATACATATGCATACATACATATGCACATGTTTCTTCACAAAGAAGGGAGAGGGAAATAAGCCGGGCGTGCTGGAGGGCTGTCTCCTCCTGCTCCCGCTGCCGCTCCTCCACTTTTCCGCAATCCTCCTCCTCCTGCAACCTCTACTTCTCCTGCCCCTCCGTGCTCGCTTGTCATTCGGCTGGAGAGCTTCCCACCCACAACATAGTATGCCAAGGGCTAGCAATCCAAGGGACTGCGCGGGGTGGGGCGATCTGCCCCACCTGGCACGCAGCAGCAATGGAAGCGGGGCGAGGAAGGGAAGGGGGATAAAGAGGGATGACCGGGAGGAAGGGGAGCAGCAGAAGGGAGGGACGGGAGGGAGGGAGGGAGAACGTGAGGGGGCGGAGGCGGAGGAGGAGGGGGAGAAGGAGGGGGAGGAGGAGGAGGAGGGGGAGGAGGAGGAGGAGAGTGATGATGATAATGATGATGATGATGCTGATGATGATGATGATGATGATGATGATGATGATGATGATGATGATGATGGAAGATGTTGTTGATGCTGATGATGGTGGTGGGGATGCTTTTTCATTCACCGAGGGGAGCATGTCCAAGAAAGGGGAGGACGATGAAACCATAGCCCTCACAGGGTCCGGGTGATGATACTGATGATGATGAGGATGATGATGATGATGATGATGGTGGTAATGATTATGATGATGACGACGATGATGATGATGCTGATGATGATGATGATGCTGTTGGTGATTCTGATACTGTTGCTGCTGCAGCTGCTGCTGCTGCTGATGATTGTAATGACGATGACGATGGTGATGATGATGACGATGCCGATGATAATGACGATGGCGATGATTATGATGCTGATGATGCTGCTGCTGATGATAATGTTGATGCTGATGCTGATGCTGCTGCTGATGATGCTGATGATAATGCTGCTGATGTTGATATTGATGCTAATGCTGATGCTGATGCTGAATATGATGATCTTGATGATGCTGATGCTGATGCTGATGCTGATGATGACGATGATGATGACGAGGATGATGATGAGGATGAGGATGAGGATGAGGATGAGGATGATGATGATGATGATGAGGAGGAGGAGGAGGAGGAGGAGGAGGAGGAGGAGGAGGCGAAAGAAGTGGCGGAGGAGGGGGGCAGGAGGTGGAAGGGCCTGGGAGCTGGTCTTACGCCCGAAGCGCCCCCGTAAGAAGGGGGGAGGATAAGGAGGAAAATTAGGAGGGGGGGAGGAGGTGGACGGGCCTGGGAGCCAATCTTTCGCCCGAAGCCGGCGCTCCCCCCCCCTCGCATGATCCGGCCATCTCGTCCTCTCTGCCTCGCCATCGTGCGGGCGACCCTGCGCAGGGTCCGACGGGAGGCGGCGGAGGAGGGAGCGCGTGCCCAGCCGCGCAGGAGCGCATGGCCAGAGAGAGCTGCGCTTACCTTGCGCGCCCGCGCTGCCAGTGCGTGAGCCGTAGCTTTTCTCCCTCGGCTGGGGCCCACCGGGAGCCCGGAGAGAGGAACCGCCATCTTTGCCCTAAATGATGGGCCGCCCTGGTGCTGGCAGGCCTTCTACCGGCACAAATTAACTTCTTACACGGCGGAGGGATGTGGGCCATGGTTTTCCTGTCTTCTGTTGGGCAGGAGGCTCGTACAAAATTATCCTTCTGGCTTTCCTGAATGTGCCTCCCGGTGGCCACCATTTTCACGACCACTCCACGGTGAACCCAATCCAAGCTGCGCACGTGCTGTCTCACTCGGGGCGAAGAAGCGTCGCTGTTCATTCTATCCTCCTTCTTCTTCTGGCGGGGGCGATGGGGTCCGCCGAGGGGAGGCCGTCGCGTCGTGGGTGTCAAGGCGGGAGGGGGCGGGGGCGAGGTCGGGTTGGTGGGCGGGCTGGGTGGCCCAGGGCCCGACGGTGGCACGGGGTGTTGGACAGCGCGCGATCTCGTTGCTTCGGCCCAAACACAAGGCGTCCGCGGCGGCCTCTCGATTTTCCCCAGAGTCTCAATGTTCTGGTTATTGCTGAGACGCCTCCACTTCCTCACTCACTCCCGCTTCCGTTCTCTCTCTGATCACGCTCAGGCCACTCAGACTCGGATCACTTACACTCAGGTGCACTCACGCTCAGACTCATCACGCTCGTATCAGTCATGCTCAGACTCACTAGCGCCCAAATGCGCCCACTCTCAGGTTCACTAACACTCAGACACGCTCATACTCTGACTCGCTCATACTCAGATTCGCTAATACTCCGACTCTTTCGCTCGCACTCAGACCCACTCATACTCAGACTCGCACATCGTCATACTCATTCATACGCACAACACTCTCTCATTTGTATCAGCTCATACTTAGCCACGCCACATTCAGACTCATGCATTGCTCGTGCACGCAGATCCCCATGCTCGTCGCGATGTAGGCGGTGTGGCATTTTAACACCCCGAGGAGGAGCCGCCAGGGGCAGGACATCTGCAAATTCGTACCAAAATGGTGGGGATGTATTAAGCGGGTTTTCTGTTTGGTCGATCAGACTTCTCCCTGTCAAAGCCCACTGATCAGCGCGATGCAACAAGCGTGCCACTTGAACAACCCAAGGAGGAACCGCCAGGGGTGGGGACAGTTGCCCGTTCGCGCCCAGATTGCGGGGATGCTTCAGGGTGGTTCCCGAGGAAGCCTCGGGCGGGAGCCTTCCTCCCCAGATGGGCCCGCGCGTCATTTTAGTTATCCGAGGCGGTCATTCGTCACTTTTGGGCTGCTGTGGTCTGAGCGCGGGGGAATTCTAAGGCAAAAGCCTCGTCTGTGAATGATTCGTGAGGAAGTCTCGAGTGGGACCCCGCTCCCTATGGGGTCCGCACTGTACTGCGTCCTTGGTCGCCTCACCGTAATCCCACGTAAGCTGTGCGTCAGCTCTGCGTCAGTTCTGGGCTCGCGTGGCTGTTCGCCTGGGTGCTTACGCGCGCGCCCTCCCAAACACATAGTAAACGGCATCATAACCCAGCGCAAACTGGCATGAGGCAGCACTGTTCGGAGCACAACGACGTGCGGTGGTAGGGAATGTCGCTCGTGCTCGGACTTGCGCGCGCAGAATCTTGCTCATGCTCGGGCCCGTTCGCGCCCAGAAGCTCATTATCCCGGTGCGACCCTACCTAGGAGTTGGAGCCTCTAGGAAAGCAACATTAGAAGGAGCGGTAAACGCCGTCCTCCTCCTTCTCCTCATCGTCGTGCTATGCTGCGCTATGCTATGCTGCGCTGTGCTATGCTATGCTTTTGCTTTGCCTTCGCTTTTGCCTTCACTTTTGCCTTTGCTTTTGCTTGGCACCCAGGGAGCGCAACTGGGGGAACCGCGCGTTTGCTTTTACCTTTGCTGTTGCTTTTGCTTGGCTCCCAGGGGACTGGGGGAACCGCCCGGGACGGTTTCCACTACCCGGCCCCTTTAAGCTACAGAGTAAGAACCCTTCTAGGCAGAGCCTAGGTAGGGAATAGAACAATGCGGGCGCAAGTCCCGAGATCACCCGCCATAGCAGCCACAACACTTGTGGTCTCCGAGGAGGAGCCGCTGGGGAGCGCTCAGTCGCCACAAGCCAATATTCTCTTACCTAGACGCTCTAAGACACTCGCAGACGAAATTGCCAGGACCTGATATGCACATGTGGTGATCTACGCGTCTCATATGTATGCTTGTATATAAATATTTAGGTATATATGTATATATTTGTACATGTTTACCTACATATTTGTATACAGACACACATATATACACACACTCATTTAGACATACATGCATGCATGCATGCATACATACATACGTGCATGCATTTTCTGTTGATAACTTCGAATCGCTGCCAAGTCTGGGTCTGCGGGGGTTCTGCATATCGCGCCGAATCCCCGGCCGTGGTTTCATCCGCGGGCCCCAGAAATCTCGACCCTATTCCCAATATTCCCCAATCCGAGCTTGCCTCTGTAGGGGTCCAAGCAGATTCATATGGTTAGGTTAATTGCGCCGCCGATTTTGGCGGCCCGCCCGGGTGCCAAGGTGACCGGGAGCTGCGTCCCCGATTTCGGCGGCCCGCCCGGGCGCCTGGGTACCCCATAGCCCTATAGCCCTATAACTCTATAGCACTATAGCCCTACCGCCCTATCGCCCTATAGCCCTATAGCCCTATAGCCCAATAGCCCAATAACCCTACAGCCCCATAGCCCTATAACCCTATAACCCTCTAGCCCTCTAGCCCTCTAGCCCTCTAGCCCTCTAGCCCTCTAGCCCTCTAGCCCTCTAACCCTCTAGACCTCTAGCCCTCTAGCCCTCTAGCCCTCTAGCCCTATAGCCTCATAGCCCTATAGCGCAACAGCCCTCCAGTAGCCCTCTAGCCCTCTAGCCCTATAGCCCCATAGCCCCATAGCCCCATAGCCCTATAGCCCCATAGCCTCAAAAAAGATTATGATAGGGGCTTCTCTCTGGTATCAGATTTTTGTCCTAGATCGGGTCCTGATGGTACTGGGGTTCGGAAGTGCCCAGCGGATGCCGACAATTGCAAGAACAATGCAAACTCGATGTTGATGAACCGCCGGGTGTCTGGGAAGATCCGCAGCTACTGTTCCTCTGATTCTACCCTTTGCCCCTCCTTGGCGAAGTGGTGGTTCATCCTGAACTCCGAATAGAGCGTAAAAATGACGTGCAACGTCTCCGTCAACTGATCGCGAGGAGGAGGAGGCGGAGGATGTTGTAACGTCATGGGGGGGGGCCTTGGGTCATCTCCTCTCTGCTCTGTTCTGTTCAGCTGGCGTGATGACCCCATTGAGGGAACCAACTCCCAGAAGCAACCCGTCAGACTAGACATTGCCCCGCATCATTTCCGACAGCGTGAAAACAGCGCTCAATGCAATGTGTGGACAACAACAGAAGCGGCAGGAAGAAAAGTAGACGGCGAGGAGGGATAGAGGAACGCCGCAGAAAAACCGAGCACGAGAGCAGCAATGAGGAGGCAGGAGAGCAAGCGAGAGAGGAAACAACAACGCAGACGGACGAGAGAAGGAACGGAACGGCATGCAAGAACAGAGCAAAGGGAAACGGGAGACAAGGACCTGAACATTCAAGCCTCAGCATAAGCCTCTTCAGAGCTTCGCCATTGGGCTCTGTCTTGAGCGAGCGTCGCCCACGCAAAATTGCGTAATGGGGTGCATCGGAGGGAGGGACCAACATTAATTACCCTTTAGGAATGAGAACTCCACAACAACATTAACAACACTGCCGCTTGACATTTCGTCGCTTTTCACTCAGGGCTGGTGCCCCTGCTCGCCGCAGAAAACTGAGCCTCCAACAAAACAAACGCTCCCGCTCGACACGTGTTAGCTATTCGCTCAGGAATGGCGTCCGCGCTTTGGGTCCGCAAGCAAGCCCCCCGATAACCACGATGCTCCCGCTCGATAGCTCCTCGCTTTTTACGCAAGATCGGTAGTCCTGTTCGCCGCCGAAAGCGGGCCTGACAAACCAGCGTTCCCACTTGATATATTCTCGCTGTTTGCTCAGGAATGGCGTTCGCGCTTTGGGCCCGCAAAATGGAAACACTACAAAAAAGACGCCGCCGCTCGATACGTCCTCGCTTTATTACTCCACTCTAGCGCTGTTTCCCGCCGCCGTAAACCGTCCCTCCAACAAAACCAACGCTGCCGCTCGGTACCCCTCGCGTTTATCCAGGAATGACGTTCCCGCCTTGGGTCCGCAACCTGGCCCCTGCAACAACGACGCTCCTGCTCGATGCATCCTTGATTTTTTTTCTGAAGACTGGCGCTCTTGCTCGCCCGCCGAAAACAGACTCTCCAATAACATCATCGCTCCCGCTTGATTGTCCTTTGCTTCTGACTTAGGGATCATGTTCGCGCTTTGGCGCCGCAAACCAGCCCCCCTACAACAACGACGCTCTCGCTCTATAGGTCATCAGTTCTCCAAACAAGTGTGGTGCCCTCGTTTCAGTATCGCCTCTGAAGGGCTTCCCGACGGCCCCAGGGGGGTTGCGAGGAAGCCCCTGCAGAGGCGCCACAAAGGTCCCGAAGAGGCGCCAATAACCTTCCAAGGGCGCCCAAAGAGGCTGTCGGAAAGAGAGCACCAGGACGGCGCAAGAGGGCGCCAAAACGGCCAAAGGAGGCTTCAAATATCTGAACTGAAGATTGTCAAGTGCCTCGGAAGAATTGCTGGTAAAACATTTTAGGTCGGGGGATCTGGGTAAGGGAATATCGGGGCCCCGATGCATGAAATAATCTCCTTAAGACGGAAAAGACGATCATGATGTAAGCACTTTGCATCGGAAACGATTGCGCATTCTGGTGTAATGATTGCTGTTGTTGCTGTTGATGCTGCTATTGTGTTGTGTGCTTGTGTGAAGAATAATTCGTGTTGACCCCCCCCATTCGGCGTGCAGAGCTTCTTCAGTTGAAGTGGCACGCGCGCGGGGCACCACCCGCCTGGTTGTGCACTGGCACGTCCAAGATGGCGGCTATCACCTCTCGGGCGCCATCGTGATGACGCTGCCGATGCTGCTGCTGACGATGCCGATGAGGATGGTCGTGACGGTGACGATTATGATGACGAGGATGAGGATGAGGATGAGGATGATGATGATGATGGTAATGGTAATGGTAGCGATAATGATAATGATGATGATGAGGATGATGATGATGCTGCTGCTGATGATGATGATGATCACGACGATGGTGATGACGATCTGATGCTGACGACGGGGATGGCTAGGATGCTGGTGACGAGGCGGACGAGAAGGCGGGCTCCCCAAGCCTTCACCACTCCACGGGACCGCAGCTCGCTCGGAGAGCCACCAGAACGCCCCCTCGAGGGCCGCTTGTTCTCATTCTGTTTTGCCCGTCCTCCTTCTCCGCCTTCCCCCCCTCAGCTTCCACCGATCATCTTCCTACTCCTGAGCTTCGAACAGATCTCCTGCCCTCGTCCTTGTCGTTGTCCTCCTCCTCTTCCTCGCTCTTCCAACGATCAGGCCTCGAGCAGAGCAGGCGCAGGTCTTGCCCGCGTAGTGAAGTCCGATCGAAGGCCTCCTTCCTGGGCCATCTGGCCGCCAAGAGTTGGGACTCGGGGAGGAGGATGGAGGGATGAAGGGAGGGAGAATGGGACTGAGAAGGAACATGATTAGAACAATACCGCAGTGGTGGCAATTGTGCTGGATTGTAGTAACCTTACTATGACGCTTAGTAATGTTAATTTGACCGGTAACAACAATAACAATGGTAGCCGTGATCGCACAGCTTTTGGTTTTAGTTCTCTCTGTTTCTTTCCATGTGTTCTCATTTATACAAGTCGCCCGCGATGGTAGGTACACATCCGACAGTGACGCCGAGATGGACCTACTGGTGCTGTACTTGTCCTCTCGTTACCCGCGGGCACCTCCAACAAAGCTGGAATGACAGGGTTGCATCCCGTGGCTCAAAATTATACCCGGGAGCGGGGCTCCAGCAACACGGAGACCGCTGGGAACCATTGTGTTGAATCATGTGCTTGGACATGCTTCTCCCCAGGCCAGAAGCGCAATGGACAACTCAGTACGGGCGTTTCTCGTCGTTTTCGGCCTCTGCGGGCCCTCGTCGGGCCAGGGCGGGGCGTTCTGTCCACATGGGGGGCGCCAACAGCATCAAGGTTGCATATCAAGGTTCGAAGTCGCACTGGGGAGTGCAGTTCTGCCAGCCCAGGACGCCCAACGAGGGATCTACTGGGTGGACAATTGGAGCCCACCCCTCCCGTGCGCCGCTGAGTTATGCTGTTACATGCTGGTTGTTCTTATGTCTGGCTGCTCCTCTTCCCTGTTGGTTGCGTACAAGAGAAACTTTGGGCAAGGGTGACTTTTGGTGCGCTGCTTTCGGGGGGGGGGGGGGGGGGGGGCAAGCCGAGGTTGCAGCCTCCACAAAATGACGACGGTTACAGATTTGGGATGGCCCGCTCGGATTAGTAACATGATCTGACAGGGATGGGGGCTCCCGTTTAAAACTTACTCATCATTGACTCAGGGACGAGGCCCCCGCTCGAGACTCCCTCCAGGTTCAGGCCTCAGGAGCAGAACATTGAGGACGGTTGCGCATGGTCTGCGGGCCCATCGAGAGGGGGGCTCCTGCTTGAGATTTCGTCGCCATTCAGTTAGAGGCGAGGTCCCCGCCTGAGACTTCCTCTAAATTCGAGCCTCAAGAGCCGAACAATGACGGCGGTTACAAGTCTTGGATGACCCGTTCGGATCAATAACCTGACCAGGTGGCCCCATTCCTCGTACTTCATTCAGGAACGCGGCCCGCGCTCGAGATGTCCTCCAGGTTTAGGCCTCAAGAGCCAAACAATGACGACAATTTCAGGCTTCGAATGTCCCGCTCGGGTTAGTAACATGATCTGCGGGCCCCATGGGGAGGGGGCTTAAGTTGGAGACTTCCTCGCAACTCACTCACAAACAAGGCCCCCCCCCCGCCTGAGACTTCCTGACTATTCACGCCTCGTGGGCCCTGATGGTGTGATACTGATGATGATGATGGCGATGCTGATGACGATGATGCTGCTGCTGCTGATGATGAGAATGATGATGATGATGATGATGATGATGATGACGATGAGGATGATGCTGATGCTGATGATGATGATGATGATGATGCTGATGCTGATGCTGATGACGATGCCACTGATGATTCTGCAGACGATGATGCTGATGATGCTGCTGATGGTGGTGGTGGTGATAATAAGTGAGTGCGCGAGTGTGTGAGTGAGTGAGTGATCGAGCAAGTGATAATGGTGATGATGGTGATGGTGTTAATGCTGGTACTGCTGATGATTCTGGCAATTATGATATGGCTGCTGCTTATGATAATGATGCTGATGCTATTGATGTTGATGCTGTTGATGCTGCTGATGATGGTGATGATGCTGATGCTGCTGATGATGATGACGATGCTGATTGTGATGATGCTGTTGTTGATGATGGTGTTCAGGACGATGACGATACTGATGCTGCTGCCGATGATGACGACGGCAACGATGATGATGCTGATGACGATGACGATGATGATGATGATGATGCTGATGATGATGATGATTATTATGCTGATGCTGCTGATGATGACGATGATGATGATAATGCCGATGCTGGTGCTAATGCTGATGCTGCTGATGACGCTGATACTGATGATGATGACGATGATGATGATGCTGATGATGATGATGATGATGATGATGATGCTGATGATGCTGATGATGATGGTGGTGATGCAGATTATGGCGATGACATCGATGTTTGTAATGATGGTGACAATGACGATGCTGCTGATGATGATGCTGATGCTGACGATGACGGGGATGAAGACGAGGGTGCTGACGAGGATTATGATGCGGATGGTGATGATGCTCATGCTGATGAGGATGATGATGACGATGCTGCTGATGATTACGACGATGATGATGATGGCGATGCTGATGCTGTTGATGATGATACTGATGATGCTGATGCTGATGGTGACGATGCTTACGCTGATGATGATGATGATGATGATGATGATGATACTGATGATGATGCTGATGATGCTGATGATGATTCTGATGATGATGTTGATACTGATGATGATGATGCTGATGCTTATGCTTCTCTGCTGCTGATGATGGCGATGACGATGACGATGACGATGATGCTGATGCTGCTGCTGCTGATGATGATGATGCTGATGATGATGATGATGATGATGATGCTGATGCTGCTGATGATGATGATGAGTGCGAGAGTGCGAGAGTGAATAACAGAGGGGAGGGGGTGAGGCGATCTTTCCTGCGCGGGGAGTTTCCAGAGAAACCGAGAATCCCCTTGGATGTGTGGAACAGCAGAAACCTCCTTGAAGGGGGGAGGGGGCGGGTTCGTTGGCACCCCCCTCCTGTTCTCAATGTAGGGCGAACACTGGCGCTTTCCAAATAAAAGCGTGCAACACTCCACCTTCCCAAACTTCTGATGCTTTGCTTTTGCAGATTGGACCCCTCAGAAATCCCGACCCTTTCCCCAAGGCCGGCTTTTCATCCCGCGTCGTTTCTTGATTGTTCTATGGCTGGGAGACGGCCTCTATGGAGGCCGACAAAAACATCCGTCTGTATTATTTCCACGACGCTGGGGCTGGGTGTCTGGGTTCGGGCTGGTTATCTGGCGGTGGCGGCGCCTTGATATAGCTCTCGAGGTCCAGGTCGAGGTCACCCATCTCTGGGAGCGAGCCCTGCTCCAGGAACTCCTGTGGGGAAGGGCGTCGGGGAGCGCGCGGATCCTGGCAGAGCTGGGACCCAACGACAAGCCTCCTCCTCCTCCTCCTCCTCCTCCTCCTCCTCCTCCTAATACAATCTTAACTCAAGTCTGCTGCCGCTGGGCCCGCCGTCCGACCGATGCCAGCTGGGTACGCAGGACGCCCGCGCTGCGAAGGCGACGCCGGAGGCCGCGCGCGGCGCGGCCCTGGCGACGCACGCGGCGGCCGGGCTGGCGGGCGGCCAGCGGGAGGCGGTGTGCCTCCTCCGCGCCGCAGAGGGCATCCTCCGGACGGCGGCCGCTGTGCCGGCGACGGCCCCCCGCGGCCGCCCCGGCCCGGCTGGTGGCGGTGGGGCGCCCCGCTTGCCTCTCGGCGGCGGCGCCGCCCGCGCGGGCGTGGCGGGAGGGCGGGCGACGGGAGCACGACGGGGACGGCCGTGGACGGGTTGCGGAGCGGCGGAGGGAGCGGCGCGGGGCGCCGCGGTGCCCGCCTCGCCGCTGGCGTCCGACGAGTGGGCTGGTGCGCTGCCCACCGTCGTGAGCGCCGAGGGCCAGAGCAGGGGCAAGGATGAGGACAAGTTGGTGCCTGTGCAGCTCCCCGTCCCGTCTGCCAGCGTGGGCTCGGAGGGCGTCGACGCGGAGGACCTCGCGGCGCTGCAAGGCTGGCTGGCGAGCCAGCAGGCGCGTGGTCGTCGGCCTGGCGCTACTGGCGCGTCGTGATGCCCGTCGGCATGGATCAGTCCGTTGTGGTGTGAGCAGTGGCACGTCTTCTTCGTCTTCGCGGTCGGGGGGTCCTGGCTCCTCAGGTGGATGCCAGGCCCCCCCCGGAGGGTGGCGGCACCGCTCCCTCTGAGGCGCGCTCATTCCCCTCCTCCTCCCATTCCTTTTCCTTATAAGAAACTTCTCCCTGACGAACCCCGAGGCCAGTTTTTAGGGCGGGCCGGGCGTTTCGCCTGAGACTTCCTCACCACTTATGACTCCGAGGCTTAAGCAGTGGCAACAATTTCACAAATGGAGGCGGGCCATTTTCAAAATGTGGCTCTCGCCCTAGCGCCGCGCACATTCGTTTTAAACAATGCAATATTTTCACGTATTGAAGGCGAACCGTTTTCAACATGTGTCTCTTGCCTGAGCGCCGTGCACATTCGTTTTTTGGAAAATGTGCAAGAGTTTCACGGATTGAGGGCGAGTCGTTTTCAATATGTGGTTCTCCCGTAGCGCCGCGCATATTCGTTATAAACATGTGCAACAATCTCACGGAGAGAGCGCGCCCACAGTGACGGAGCAAAGGGGGGGGGTCCCCCCCTTAGCTACCCCCCCCCCTCCCTTGACCCCCCCCTGCTGGAAGCTACCCCCCCCCCTCCCTGTTTCGTCCGCCCCTGGAAGCTCCCCTCCCTCTCCCCCACTTTCGGCGGTTGGAAGCTACCCACCCCCTCCCCCCCTTTCCAAAGGGGGGAGGGCTTAGCTACCCCCCCCCATTTGGCTCCCCTCTGCGGGGAGCCCCCCACCCCCTCCCCTCCTTTTTTCCCCCCCCCGGAAGCTACCCCCCTTTTCCCCCCCTTTTGCCGCTCCGGAAGCTCCCCCCCCCCTCCCCACTTACCAAAGGGAGGAGAGCTTAGCTACCCCCCCCCCCCTTTGACCCCCCCCTGCTGGAAGCTACCACCCCCTCCCTTGAACTCCCCCTGCCGGACGATCCTCCCCCGTCGCCGTCGTCGTTGCCGTTGCCGTCGCTCGACGTCTTCGTACGACGCCGTCGTCGTCCTCGTCGTCGTTGTCGCCGCCGTCGCCGTCATTGTCGCCGTCTTCGCATGACCTCGTCGTGGTCGCCACGACGAGGACGAGGTCATACGAAGACAGCGACGGACGACGGACGACGCGCGACCGACGACGACGACGACCCATGGTCAGAGAAAACGAGGCCACGGCCCAGGGGCCGAGAAAACGAGAAAACGAACCAGGGTCCAAAAAGACGAACCAGGGTCCGAGAAAACGCGACCACGACCCAGGGGCCGAGAAAACGCGAAAACGAACCAGGGTCCGATAAGACGAGACCACGACCCAGGGGCCGACAAAACGAGACAACGAGAAAACAAACCAGTGCCCGAGAAAAGGAAACTGAGACCCAGGGGCCGAGAAAACGAGACAACGAGAAAACGAACCAGGGCCCAAGAAAGCGAGATCACAACCCAAGGGCCGAGAAAACGAGAAAAAACAAGAAACGAACCAGGTCCGGAAACAAACAACACACAAACCCAGAAGCCAAGAAAACAAGAAAACGAGACAATGAACCAGGGTCCGAGCAAACACGATAACGATCCAGGGGCCGAGAAAACGAGAAAACAATAAAACAAACCAAGGTCCGAGCAACCGAGACCACGACCCAGGCCGAGAAAACGCGAATATCGGTCTTAGAAAACGAGACCACGACCCAGGGGCCGAGAAAACGAGAAAACGGAAAAAGGAATCAGGGCCCGAGAAAACGAGACTACGAACCAGGGGCCGAGAAAACGAGGTAACGAGAAAACAATCCAGCGTCCGAGAAAACCAAACCGCGACCCAGGAGCCGAGAAAACGAGACAACGAGAAAACGAAGCAGGGTCCGAGAAGACTGGACCACGACCCAGGCGCCGAGAAAACAAGAAACGAGAACACGAACCTGGGCCAGAGAAAACGAAACCACGACCCAGGGGCCGAGAAAACGAGAAAACGAACCAGGGTCAGAAAAAACGCGACCACGACCCAGGGGCAGAGAAAACGAGACAACAAGAAAACGAACCATGGCCCGAGAAATCCAAACCACGACCCAGGGGCCGAGAAAGCGAGAAAACGAACCAGGGTCAAAAAAAAAAGACCACGACCGAGGAGCCGAGAAAACAAGAAAACGAGAAAACGAAACGGTGTCCGAGAAAACGAGACCACGACGATAAAACAAACCAGGGGCCGAGAAAACAAGAAAACGAGAAAACGAGCCAGGGTCCAAGGAAAAAAAACACGACCCAGGGGACGATAAAACAAGAAAACAAGACAACGAATCAGGGTCCGAGAAAACGAGACCACGACCCAGGGGCCGACAAAACAAGAAAACAAGACAACGGACCAGGGGCCGATAAAACGAGACAACAACCCAGGGGCCGAGACAAAGAGAAAACGAGAAAACGAACCGGGGCCCGAGAAAACGAGACCACGACCCAGGGGCCGAGAAAACGAAAAGACGAGAAAACAAACCAGGGTCAGAGAAAACAAAACCACAATCCAGGGGCCGAGATACGGAGAACACGAGAAACCGAACCGAGGGTCAGAGAAAAGGAGACCACGACCCAGGGGCCGAGAAAACAAAAAACTAACCAGGGTCAGAGAAAACGAGACCACGACCCTGGGGCCGAGAACACGAGAAAACAAGGAAATTAACAAGGGTCCGAGGAAAATTGACACCACGACCCAGGGCCGAGAAAACAGGAAACGAAATCACGAACCAGGGCCCGAAAAAGCAACACAAAAAAACAAAAGCCGAGAAAGCCAGAAAACAAAACAACGAACCAGGGTCCGAGAAAACGAGACCACGACCCAGGGGCCGAGAACACGAGAAAACGAGAAACCAAACCAAAGTCCGAGCAAACGAGACCACGACCCAAAAGCACAGAAAACGCGAAAACGAACCAGTGTCTGAGAAAACACGACCACGACCCAAAGGCCGAGAAAACGAGAAAACGAGAAACGGAATCAAAGCCCGAGAAAACGAGACTACGAACCAAGGGCCGAGAAAACAAGAACACGAACAAACGAGCCGGAACAGAGAGCGAAACCACGACCCAAGGGCCTAGAAAATAAAAAAAAACGAGCAAACGAACCAGGCCCCGAGAAAACGAGACCACGACCGAGGAACCGAGGAAATGAGAAAACGCGAAAACGACACACGACCCAGGGGCCGAGAAAACCAGAAAATGCTTGGTTCGAGAAAGCGAGACCACGACCCAGGAGCCGAGAAAATGAAGAAACGAGAGAACGAAGCAGGGTCAGAGAATACACGACCACCACCCAGGGGCCGAGACAACGAGAAAGCGAATCTACTAACCAGCGTCCGAGAAAACAAAACCACGACCCAGGCGCCGAGAAAACGAGAAAACGAAGCAGGGTCCGAGAAAACTGGACCACGACCCAGGCGCCGCGAAAACGAGAAAACGAGAACGCGAACCAGGATCAGAGAAAACGAGACCGCGACCCATGAGCCGAAAACACGAGAAAACAAGAAAAACAAGAAAACGAAGCAGGGCCCGAGAAAACGAGACTACGAACCAGGGGCCGAGAAAACACGACAACAAGAAAACGAACCAGGGATCGACACTATTCTCCAATTCGTTCTCTAGCGCTGTGGTGCGCACCTGTCGTCAGAGATTTCGCCATTTTGCCAGAGCTCCGGAAGGGAGGGGGGGGGTAGCTTCGGACCACCCCCCACCTTTGCACAGGGGGGGGGATAGCTTGAAGCCGCCCCCCCCTGTGTCCAAACCAAAAAAGGAAGGAGGAGGGGAGGTAGCTTCCGAAGCCCCCCCCCTTTGAAAGGTAAGCCCGGGCTCACCTTCTGCTCCAAAAAAAAGGGGGAGGGGGTGGGGTAGCTTCGAAGCCCCCCCGCCTTTGAGCCAGAGCCCCCCCAGCTTAAGAAAGGGAGGAGGGGGGGGGGTAGCTTCGGAAGCTCCCCCCTCCTTTTGGAAGGAAGGGGGGGGGGGTAGCTTTAAGCTGGGGCCACCCTTTTCTTATTCCGGTCGCGACGGGCGCGCTCTTTCATTTCACGGATTGAGGGCGGATCATTTACAAAATGTGGCTATCGCGCCAACGCCGCGCACATTCGTTTTAACCATGTGCAAGAGTTGCACGGATTCAGGGTGAGTCGTTTTCAGAATGTGGCTCTCGCTTTAGCGTCGCGCACATTCGTTGTACACATTTGCAAGGATTTCACGGATTGGAGGCGGCTCCTTTTCGAAATGTGGCTCTCGCCATAGCGCCGCGCACACTCGCTTTATACTGGGCAAGAGTTTCACGGGCTCCCGTGGTCAGCGTACAATCATGTTTTGGAGGATTCGAGAATCTGTGGGTGCAACAGTTGCGTTGATTCGTGGTGTTGAAGTTCCAAGAACGGCGTTCTGCCACGATTTAGGATCGTCAAGACGCAACAGTCAGGTTGATCCGTGGCGTTGTAATCCCGAGAACAATGTTTATGCATGCTTCAAGGTATTCAAAAGGCTGTCTTCCAACGAGGCAGTTCCTCAATGGCAATGAACCATTCTAGGGGCCTATGAAGAGGGAGCTTGGAGGCAGTTTTTTGTTTGCTGGGTTTGCACTGCTCCTCCTTCTCCTCCTCCTCCTCCTCCTCCTCCTCCTCCCCTTCCTCCTCCCCTTCCTCCCCCCCCCACCCCCACTGTCCCTCCTCCTCCTCCTTCTCCTCCTCCTCCTCCTCCTCCTCCCATCGAGCCTTCGAGAACCGAAGGATCGAGGAACGATCGCTGTGACGCCATCTGTTTTGTTTTTTGGGCCGCCAGAGGCCTCTGGAGACACCTAAGCCTCAGAAGCCTCGGGATGCCCGGATATCTGCCCCTCCCCCCTCCCCCCCGCTCCGCCTCCGCTCCTTCTCCCCGCTGCCCCCTCCGTCCCCCTCCCGCTTCCCCGCTCCTGCTCTCCGTCCACCTCCCGTTTTCCCTTTCCCGCTTCCCCCTCTCCCTCCCGTCCATAGGCATCCAACGTCGTCAAAACACCAAGACGACATGTTGTCGCCATATTTTTTGGCACCCGAAGGCCGCTTCCCAGCCTGGGGGCCATCAGCATAATGAATCGGGATGAAGAGCTGGCCCCAGGGAAAGGGCCAGGACTTGCGGGGGCCCCGTGCATGAACAAACAGCAGGCGTCGGATCTCTGGGTCCACTTCCCCCTCCACCTCTCCACTCCTCCCTCCCGCTCCCCCAGCGGAGTCTCCGCCTCTCTCTTTACCTCTTCGGCGCCTCTTTTGGGGCGCCTCGGCGATCTCCTGGGCGCTCCGAAGACCGACAGGGCGACTATCCAACCAATTTGTTTTTCGCTGTTTTTGTTTTTTTTTTGTTTTTGTTTTTTGCTGTTTTTGTTTTGTTGTCGCCTTGCTGTTTCGTTTTTTGTTTTTGTTGTTTTTGTTGTTGCTGTCTCCTGGACGGGATCCGAAAGGCCTGCTGCCCAGCCCCTCCCGCGGCCTGGTGGCCAGGGCGGCTCCTCGAAGTCCCTGGGCCAGATCTCCATCAGCTGCTCGATCTCGGGCATGCGCTTGGTGTACCTCGGCCGGCCCGGGCGCGGTCGCCCTCGCAAGACGAAGCCCGGACGAGGATTCAAATCGGGTGAGGAGAAGTCGCGACTCTCGGAGATCTGGCAGCTCTGGAGGAAGTGCTGGGCGTCGCGGCCTCCTCAGAGCGTTCCGGAACGCTCCGAGAATGTCCCGGAACGCTCTGGAACGGATTTATCCTCGTCCTGGCCCCGTGCGACCTCGGTTCTCGTCGCCGCCGCCGCCGCCGCCGCAGTCGCCGCAAGTTGCTGCCGCCGGTATCGGTCGAGACCGTCCTCCTTCGCGCTCGGAGACGAAGGGGTGCGGGGAAGCGTGGGGGGAGGAGGAGGAGGAGGAGGGAGCAGCCCAAGGAGTTGTGCAGAGGGGGCGCGATGCCACAACAGGATGCGACTCCCCGCCCATGCCGAAGAGGACCCTAATGTGCAACAATCTCATTTTGTTTCTCAGTCCTAGGCCCTAGAAGGTCCGGCCACTTCTCCAGAGCCGATTTCCCATCCTGAGCTGTTCTTGGACGATCCTGGAGGCTAGTGCCCAACCCCCCGAGGCTGGAAACGGCGGAACATCTCCGTAACGATTTTCAAAACGTTGGGAGGTCTGCTGACGCAGCGGTGCAAAACACACCGCCGGGTCACCCGTCTCCTTGCCTGCGCCGGGCCGCCGGAAGGGCGGGCCTGAGTTTCAGGTCCCCGCTCTACTCTCCCCACTGTGCTGGCCTGCGCGACCCTGTCTGCAAGAGGAGGGAGCGAGGGAGGGAGCGAGGGAGCGAGGGAGGGCAGGGAGGGAGGGGAGGAGGGGAGGGAGGGGAGGGAGGGTGGAGTCGGAGGTGGGGTTGCGGGAGAGGAAGGGAAGGAAAAGAGAGGGAGTGAGGACAGAGAAGAAGGGAAGCGGGAGGAGGGTGGGAGGAGGGATGGAGTCGGAGGTGGGGGTGAGGGGGAGGGGAAGAAGTGACGCAGGAGGAGGATGGATGGGGAAGGGGGGAAGGAGAGAGGAGGGGTGGAGTCGGAAGTTGGGCTGAGGTGGTGGAGGAGGGATCGATCTCGCGTGTTCTCTCGCACCTCCTGCTATGAGGCGCGGGCGACATTTCGCACCCCAATCGGCCAGCCCCGAATCGCCGAGCTCATCCGAGCTAACCTCGGACCCCGCACCATTCCAGCCCTCCACCTCCGTCGTCGGCCTCATCGCACCGAGGCGGGGTACCGGACAGTCGGCGCGGGCTTGTTCCGATTCAGGTCGTCGATGCGCTTGAACCAATTCTCTATTTCCTTGGGGTTCTTCTCGGCGTTCTCGATGAACCTCATTTATGGCGGCGGGGTGGGGTGGGGGGGGGCAACGGGCAGACGGCAAATGAGCTGCTCTGGGTGAAAAGAGAAGGGCGCGGAAACTCAGTGGCCGCCGGAGTCCCTTACGGTGGAGCGTTGGCCAGGGCGGTGAATGCAGGACCGGCGCAGCCGACAGGGCAAACAAAGGCGCAACTTAGCAAAAACCTTCTTTTCTGTGAGCTGCTGCTCTATTATCCCCCCACGGGAAATGTTATATATATATATATATATACTTGTATGTTTGTGTGTATGACTATATATATATATGTATATGTATATATATATATATATATATATATATATATATTCATGATCGGCCAATCGACAAAACAAGCGTCTGTCAACTGCCGCAACATAAAAACACAGCCGTACGTTTAGTGTACTCGCGAGAAAAAAAGATGCACAACATAACCCCACCAGACTCATAACATACACTAGCCCTAACATGCACACCACCGGGCACTGCTGCGAGCCGACAAAAACACCACAGACGGCACCAAAGCCTCCAAATGACTTCTGCTCTGTGGGCTTCCAGACAGCTTCAAATCACATTCCCGCGCAGAGCTTTTCGCGGATCCCCCCAACCCCAGCCCATCCCTATCAGTGCGGTGGCGGGTATGCGCGGCCGCGCAAGTAGGTTCACAATGCTAATCAGATATGTCGGCTTTAACATTCTCTTCTCACGATCGCACGACTCCCCCGAAGCAACTAAAGCTCCACCACTCAACACTCATACGAACCGTCCAAGAAATACCAAAAAGCGATCTGGTAAACGACTGGTGCTGGGCCTTGCTGCGTTGCACTGATAAGGCCCAAATGACGTGCGCACCCAGCCACTTGGATTTGTATGCCCCCCAATTCGCGAGGTCAACCTCATGGCACCAACGCTTGCGTCATGCGCTCTGTCGAGTCCCATGTGGATTCACGTGCCCGTACGTCGTCGTTTCAAACTCGACCTGCTAAGACGCCGGTGGCTTGCCGTGCCATGGTGCCGTGCTGCACTGGGAGGTCGCCCGACAGTGCCGCGGCGTGGCGTGGCGCAGTGGGGACAGAAACAGCAAAGCGATCCTGCGGCCCGATGGTGCTGTGCCGTGCCACGGCGTCGTGCGGCGCCGTGGTGCAAGCTGCATGCCGTGCCATGGTGCAGTGACGTGGTGCGTCGAAAGGGCCAACATCTCAGAGCAAGCTCAAGATGCCACCAGCGCGTGACTTGGTGGCCCACTGGCCGCTGGTGCCATGCCGTGCAGTGGTGTCGTGCCGTGGTGACGCGCAACGTGCGGATGCCGTGTCGTGCTGCGCCGTGCCCTCTGGGGAAAAGACAGCGCATTGCACCCTCGGCGGCGGAATGCCCCAAACAACGCCTTGGGATAATTACTGAAGGGAACCCGGTAGAGGGTACTGCACGGAGAGAGTGTGACTATGCAGAGTGCAGTGGCGAGTACCGAAATCACATGTGGGGCACCGTACGGGAGAGCAGATGGGAGGCCGTGGAGAGTACGGGAGACCCGACGGGAGACCACACGAGAGACCGTGCGGGAGACCGTGCGGAAGACCACACGGGAGACCGTGCGGGACACCCCGCGGGGGACTGCGCGGGAGACGATGCGAGAGACCGCACGAGAGACCACACGGGAGACTATACGGGCAACCATCTGGGAGACCGTGCCAGAGACTGCGCGGGAGACCACGGGGGGTAACATGCGGGAGACCATACAGAAGACCATGCGGGAGACAGTGCCGGAGACCCCGTGGGCGACCACACGGGTGACCATGCGGGAGACCGTGCGAAACGCGGGGGACCAGACCAAAGGCCATACGGGAAAGCATGCGGAAGATCGTGCGGGAGACCACGCGGGAGGTCACGGGCCACGAGCCACGGACTCCGAATCTGGAGGACGTCGCACGTGCCTTCACACACCATCTGGCGGACCCTTGCAGACGAGCTGTTTTCAAGGGTATTGCGTCCACGCTTGCTCGCTGAACGAAGACATGGCATTCAACAATGCCGTGACCTCGTCGGCCAGAACTGCCGCGCGCCGTGCCGCCCCGTGGCGCCGTCATCGTGCCTTTGTGTCCTTTCTGCAGAAAACCCCCCGGCATGACCAAAACGTGATT